CCTATGCCCTTCCTAATGAGGTGAGGGCCTAGAACCATTGTGATCAGTCAAAATTACTCAAGACTGGGATTACCTGGGTCTGGGATGATCCACCCAGGCTTTTTCCATCCAAGAAATCCTGATAGAGTGGGAAAATCTTAGGAACACCATAAGCTGAACATATTTATTCCTCACTGAGAGGTTAAGAGATGGTCACATTACTTGTTTGTGCCTGGTGTATGTAATGGCATGGTCAGCTGAGGTCAGGGAAAGGTATACTTTCCCAGTTTTCTCCATTGCTCTCATTATGGCATACAGCAGGGATTCTTCACTTGGAGCCCATTGGCAGCTCCCCCCCCTCCCCCCACGAATCTTTAGACAGATTTCAGGGAGTCTCTGAACTATACAAATAGGGGGAAATTTTACATTTTTAACTATCATATTAAACATATTTTCACTTTAGTCATGTTGTGTAAGAAGAATCAGAACAAAAGGGGAAAATCATGAGAAAGAAAAAACAAGCAAGAAAGAGGAAAAATAGTACACTTCAATCTGCATTCAGACTCCATGGTTTTCTGTATGTGGATAGCATTTTCCATCATGAGTCTTTTGAAATTGTCTGAGATCATTGTTTTGCTGAGAAGAGCTACATCTATCAAAGTTGATCTTCTCACAATGTTGCTATTACTGCATGCAATGTTCTTCTGGTTCTGCTCACTTCACTCAGCATCAGTCCATACAAGTCTTTCCAGGTTTTTCTGAAGTCCACCTCCTCCTCATTTCTTATAGCACAATAGTATTCTATTACGTTCATATACCACAACTTGTTTAGCCATTCTCCAATTGAGAGGTATCCCCTCAATTTCCAATTCTTGGCCACCAGAAAAAGAACTGCTATAAATATTTTTGTACATGTGGGTCCTTTTCCATTTTTTAGACCTAGTAGTGGTATTGGTGGATCAAAGATATGCACGGTTTTGTAGCTCTTTGGGCATAGTTCTAAATTGTTCTCCAGAATGGTTGGATTAATTCACAACTCCACCAACAATGCATTAGTGTGCTAATTTTCCCACATCTTCTCCAACATTTATCATTTTCCTTTTTTGTCATATTAATCAATCTGATAGGCACGAGGTGGTACCTTAGAGTTTTTTAAATTTTCATGTCTTTAATCAATAGTGATTTAGAACATTTTTTCATATGACTATAGATAGCTTTAATTTCTTCATCTGAAAACTGCCTGTTCATATCCTTTGACCATTTATCAATTGGGGAATTACTTATATTCTTATAAATTTAACTCACTTCTCTATACATTTTAGAAATGAAGCTTTTATCAGAAACACTGGCAGTAAAAAAGTGTTTCCCAGCTTTCTGGTATATCAGATTACTTGCTGTCTTGGGGAGGGGGGAAGGAAGGGAGGGAGAAAAAAAATGGAACTCAAAATCTTATAAAAGTGTATGTTGAAAACTATCTTTACATGTAATTGGGAAAAAATACTATTAAGGGAAAAATTTACATTTTTGTTTTCATTAACCTCTGGCGTTAAGCATTCTTTTTTTTTTTTTTTCCAATTCTGAATGTAGGCAACAAACCATTATTTTAAGAAGGGGCCTATAGGCTTCACCAGCCTATCAAAGGTGTTCATGACACAAGAAAATTTAAGGAAACTTGGTACAGAGGAAAGATCAATAAACTGGGAGTCAGGAGGGCTGGGTTACAGATCCTGTTGTGCTCCCTAACCTACTCTGTGGCCCAGCCCTAGGGCACATAACCTGTTGCAGCCAGGACAAATTTCATATCATGGAGACCAGGGAAACTTGGCACAGCAGGCAGCATGGTGAGGTTCAGAATGTGGTCTTTGACCAGGATAGTCAATAAATCAAAGTAAGAGAGGAAAGTTCATGACTGTACGAAGAGCGAGTATGTCAAAACCATTGAAGAAGGAATCAGAGTATACAGTCGTAGAAGACTTTGCTTAGCTCTAAAGAGGGTTGGTTGACATATCTGTCCTGCTCAAGCTCTCTTCAAAAGCATACTATTTATGTATAGCACTATTCTTTTATGAGCCTTGGAGCCAAATTTTTTATGGGCACTCTCAGTTACTTTATCTTTAAAAGATGTCAGGGGATTGGGTGGAGTTGAAATAGTAATGATAATGATTCTATGACCACAAAGATAATAATCACACATAATTATTTATGGTACTTTAAGATTTGCAAAGTTCTTTCTTCACAACAGCCCTATAAGTGTGACTATTGTCCCCATTTTGCAAACAAAGAAACTGAGGCTCAGAGAGGCTAAGTAGTTTGTTTATGGTCATACAACTAGTAGGTACTGGGATTTGAACCCAGGTCTCCTATTTCTCAGTTCAGTGATGTTTTGAGTTAACTCTCAGTGTAATTAAATTTCAGGTACAGCACAATGTCAAAATGAGGTTCAAGTACATGTTCATATATCATTCCTTACAGGTTTACTTTGTAGCTCTTTTTCCTCAGGAAACTGCTGTCTTCACATTGAGTTTTGAGTGACAAGAATGATCATAGAACATGCCAACAATGAGTATTTCCTTCTTTCCACCTTGTTCCATGACCTCTGCTCTTCTACCCAGTACTTGAGAACAATAATGCTGTGTTTACCCTGCAAAGGGAGATTAACTTCCAGAGAAAGGCTGGAAAGCTAGTACATTCCAATCAGGAAACATGTTTCAGTCCTTTTCTCCTTCCACTTTCAGCTTGATCTCACTTTTTGAAAGTTATGAGTTGATGCAACTTTGACTTTTAAAAATTTTCCAGTTTTAAAATCTTGCCATACTTGTCTTTTTTTGAAAAAAAAAATGAAATCAACATGTGCCTACGTACAGATATCTAGATTAAACATATAGCTCAGGACTAATGATTAACCCATCTAATTGTCTCAGTAAATGTGCATGTATGAATATATATGGGTGCACGAAAGTGTGTGTGCAATCAGTTATGTGTGTGTGTGTGACAGAGACACTGAGAGAGACAAAAGAAGCAGAGACAGTGAGAATATCTTAAAACCATGTATAAAAGTCACTGCAAGAAAAGAAATTCAGTTTTCTCATCTGTAATGCAAAGAAGTTAAAGGAAGTGATTTCTAGAGTTAGAATTCACAACCCTATGATCTCAAGTTTCTTCCAACTCTGGAATTTTGCAATAATAATAAAAAAGTAAGATTATATATCAGAAGCTGGTTATCTTTCATAGACAGACAGACAATTTCTCATATTACAAACACATATCTCGAAGTATATTGCATAACTCAAAAAAGCAGCATGGAAGAATGGATAGAGTATGAGATTTGGATTTAGGAAGGCCTGGTTTCAAATCTTACCTCAGACAATACCTGTGTGACCCAGGGCAAGTCACTTAACCTCTCTGATCCTCAGTTTCCTCATCTCTGAAATCAAGGGATTAGACTCAATAGCCTCAAAGGGCCTTTCCAGCTCTAAATGAATGATTCTTTGAATTGTATTGGAAGTCAACTATTATCACAGACCTAATAATTTCCCCCAGTTCCTCAGATATAGCATTAATTCATGAAAATGTAAGAATGAAATTTTAAACTGATATCTCCCTACTAAATATACATAATATCAAAACTATTTTGAGAGAAAGCCTTTCAAAATATAAAACCTAAGAGAAGAGGTCAAAATCATAGAACAGAATGTGATGTACATGATCCCTGTTTTTCTGCCTGCTATTAGAGTCCCACTGAGGATGAGCTCATATGATAGGTAATATTCATCTAACTACAAAACATTTTTTATCCACCTGTGTAGTAGCGTATACAATATTAAATATAGAAGAATGATAGTAGCATAGTGATTTATCCTAAGACTATTTTTATCTAAACCCTATTGCAAAAAATGAGATGGATGAGGTAATAAGAATAATGATAATAATACTGCAAGGTTCTATTATTTTGTTATTGTGGGTAGTCCCTCTGGTAATGTAGATCACATCCCATCCCTTCCCCACATAATTTATTAAATGATTTTCAGGAGTTTCCAAAATGAAAAAAAATATATCATCTTGAAGCCAACCTGGTCAGCAGCTTCTTTAAATTTAGCTTAGGCTAGTCTTCACCCAACAAATAGACCATGCCACTAATGGAAACCTTTCCACCTTTGTAGAAGGTGCAAGAGGCTGCACTTCTTTGGCATAGATATTGAGAGCCCAGAATCATTTCTGTGCCGCAGTGAGGTATCAGAACAGAATTTACAACTCACGATCATATAACACTTTACAAAACACTTTCCTCACAATAATGCTGGGAAGGAGAAAGTACAAATATTATGACCTTTAAATAGAAAGCTTGTGCTAGAACAGATTTGAATCTCACTTTTCTGACCTCAAGGTCTCTTTATCTACTCTATGATTTTATGACTTAGAAATGAGGTATAGAAAGAAGAGAAAAACTGCATATGAGAATGACAGTCATAACTTTTGGATACTATTTTGACATGCACCAATGGCTGTATAATGCACTCAGGTATGGAAAGATTTTCTCTGGTAAAAGCAGGAACCCTCACTGTTGTGTATAGTTTGTGCATCTTTGATGAGAGGACTGAATTATCACTGGCTTGTAGTTCTTTCACAACCCATGCATGTGCATTAAGCAGTTATTTGGGGAGTTTTCCATGCCTATAATACACAAACGGCATCCATCCCCTTCAACAATCTAATACCAAAGGCACACAATACAGCCACTTTGGAGAATTACTTTTCTTATGATACAAAACTCAATGCTCATCTTAAACTTTCATTAGAATTTAATTCCCAGCACAAATTTTTTTTAAATGGTAAGGGAGCTTAGAGGTTTGAAGAGCCCATACCTCCAGCGTGCCAGACCAGTACTGTTCCCTATATCCACCATATGGGTGCACCCATTTTGGGCTTCCGTGTTTCTGGGCTTGCTGTTAGTTTTTTGGATACTTTTATCACCTTTCAGAATAATTGTTGCCATTGTTACTATTCAGAATAATTCCACCTACCTTGCAACTGGATGGTGTTGACTCTGGGCTTTTGTGGAAGCCAGTCTTCTTTCTTCAGCTATCCTTATGAAGGGTGCTCCCCGGTCAAATTCTGGATTTCTTCAGCATTTGTATTTGTTTCTCTTCCCTCCACTCAAGAACTGAGATCCACTGCTGTTGAGACTTAAACACTATGAGTCCAGTTTCTCAGGGCACACCTCAAGGCTGAATGAATACCAGAACATCCAGAAGAGCAGACTGAAGGCAAGGAAGAGAGACCCTGTGTAGACCAAGAAGTCCCAGTAGTTCAGAGAGACCAAAATCCCCAGCAGCAAAAGGATTAGCCCGACAATATCGAACAGGACAGCCAGAAGAAGGATTGGGATACAGCGTCCAAGACTTCCCCATCTTCTCCAGGGCCCCACAAGCAGCATTGCTTACAACCTTACTCCTGGTTTAGGAAGAGCATAACTGGCTGGGACTTGGTGGTGGCAATTTGCATGAGAGTATGACTGTTTCTCTTTTCCTCCCTGCCTCCTGTCTCTCTCTGTGCCTGGAGATTGTGAATTAACATCTGTGAGCCATAAGGAAGTACACATGTGCTATGTACATCTTTAAGAGGAGTCAGACAAGATGACTGTTTCTTTTAACTGTTTCATGACTCTGGAATGATAGACACAAATACCCAACTTTGAAGTCACATTGAACCGGATCTTTAGTTACTCAAATTAATGAGGAAGAAATGGAGTCAAGTTACACTAATGTGTGTAAGAACAAATTACTCTGTGAGGTAGGTAAGGCAAATATTTTTATTCCTATTTTGAAAGTGAGGAATCAGATTCCAAGGAATGTTTGTTGTTTTCAGGGGCTGTAAAGGCTTTGAGAATGAACTTTAGTTCCAGGAAGTCCTCTTGGATTTTGGAATAGTTAATAATGATAACAATAACTCACATTTATGTAACACATTATACTTACAAAATACAGCCTTTTCATTAATTTATTGGTTCATCACATCAACCTCGTGAGGCAAGTACTACAAGTATTTTTTATCCCTCCCATCTTTAGATGAGGAAGCTGAAGACCACACAGCTAATAAGTGTTAGATCCAGTATTCAAATCCAGCCTAATCTCCAAGTCCCCTGTACTACTTCTGGAAGAGTCAATATTGGAAAATGGTTAGCACAGTTGCCTGGGAGTTAGACTATTCTGGGTTCTCTAACCTCTGTCTCAAATTCATTGTGTGACTCTGAATAAAAGGCATCTTATTTGGGCTTTAATTTTTCTATCTTCCAAGGTAGGGTCAATAGTCTTTTTCTCCCTCTTTGGCTGAGGGTGAAGATGAATAAATGGTCACAGTGCATAATACATAACCATCCAAGTTCATGAAACATCCCCCCCCAAAAAAAATAACTGGTTGGATACAGGAGTTGAAAGTGAGTGAAAAGTCAAGGGCGAGGTCTAGGTTGTGAGCTTTGGTGACTGGGGGAAGGAAGTTCTCCATCCCTGCCCTTGACAGTAATAAGGAAGCAGAGGGCAGAGTTTGGAGGGAAAGATAATGAGTTCAATTTTGGACATGTTGATTTTAAGATTTCTATGGGACATGAATTTTAAGATGTCCACTAGACAGTTGGAGATAAGAAACTAGAGGTCAAAAGAAACATTAGGGCTGGACAAATGAATCTGAGAATCATGTGCATAGGTGTGGTAATTGAATATTATAGAGAGGTGATGGTTAATTCAATTAATCAATAAGCGCATTAAGCTTTAGGGATAATGTTAGGCACCAGGGATATAAAGACAAAAAACAAAAAAAAAGCCTATTTTATCATTCAGCTTTTTCTTTCAATAAACTTTTATTGTGTCCCCTGGGCACACAGATCTCTGCTAGACAGATGTTAGAGGAAGATACAAAGTTTAGATGAAAAATGTTTTTACCTTATGGGGCTTATGGTTTAAGAGGGGGATAAGACAAACACAGGTAAGTAAAATATATGACAATACATGATAGATGCATTAGAAATTACAAAGTACTCTGTGAAGTCTGAGGGGAAAGGTCATGGGAGGTATCCTGAATCCTGAGATATTGTTGGGTGCCAGTGTTTTTCCAATGCAGAATCTAGGATTACTGGCTAGTTTTACCTATTCTGCTGCTGTTGACGGTTCAGTTGTTTTCTGTTTCCTAAGAGATCGCTAATATTGATATTAGCCTCAGACATACAACTCTGCTATGGCAATTCAAGATAAAGCAAACTATTCTGGTACTTATGGCCAGGAAAGCAGCCAGAGGAGAAGGTGGCCCTGCTAGCTGCTGTAAAAACTGAGGCACATATTTAGTTTAAATATGTATTCCTTAGTTTATATTTATATGCATATATATTAATATGAATATAATTTACATACATTCTATTTATAAGTACATATTAGATGTATAGAATTTATAAATTCACATGTAGGTATATATTATTAACCTGAAACCTCTCAATGTCAGGCTCAACATGTCCAAAGATAGAACTCTTTATCTTTCCCCCTAAACTCAACCCTAATTCTTGCTTCCCTGTTTCTGAAAAAGGTATCTTCATTCTTCTAATTATCCAGGTTCCCAAACCCAGGGTCTTCCTGAACTATCCCTCTCCCCCCATATCCAGTCACTTACCAAGTTTTCTTGATTTCACCACCGCAACATCTCTCTTTTCCATCCCCTTCTCTCCATCTACCTTAGCTGAAGTTATCATTTCCTCTCACACTATGAATGGATGAAAAAACATTTATTAATGATTTACTATGTGTCAGATACTGTGCTAAGCTTGAAGGTTCAAATACAAAAGAGACAGTTTCTGCCCTCAAGGAATTTTTCAGCTAGTGGGTACCCCATAACAACCATAAGGGAGAGGTGGCTAGGGAAGGGTGTTTTGGTCTGAGAAGTCACAGTAATGATGAATGGAGCTAGAGGGCAGCAATTTATATTCTATTTTCAGAAAGAAATTATACTCTATATCTTACCTGTAAGGTAAGATATAAAGGTACAGCAGGAAGACTGGTGGGGAAAAGGATATTTGTGGGTCTGGGGCTAGCTACCTTTAGTGGACTCATCAATTAGGAGAACACAGCCGCTAGGCAGAATTTTAAAACATGAGTGGATAAGCTTCTCCAGGGCATAGTCCCTGAAAGTTCTCTTGGGATAGCACAAGAACCTTAATGACAGGAAGCATGGCAGGTAGATGTCTCTATTGCCTCTAGGAAAAAATAAAAACACTTCTGTTTGGCATTTATAGTCCTTTAAAATATGGCTCCAGTCTATATCTTTCTATATTCATTGCACATTTCTCTCCCCAGTATACACTATGGTTAGCCAAACTATGTACAACATTCCATTTCCCATTTCTGTGTCTTTTCTTAGGCTTCTCTCTTCAACTCAGCCTGTTGGAATCTTAAACTGTCTTCAAGGCTCAGCTCAAAAGCCACATGCTACTTGTTCCTAATTCCTCCCGAGGAATTAGTATCCTGCTCCTGAAATACTCTATATTTATTTTTCATATATTTTGAATACATTTTGTATTTATCTGTGAGCATCCTGTGTTGTCTTTACTCTGCCCCATGCTGGGCCCCCCCCCCGGGTAAAAATATAAACTGCTTGAAAGTGGGGGCTATTTCATTTTTGCCTTTCAGCACTGGCATTCTTTTCTATGATTCCAGGCTCAGAAGGGAAAATTTAGCAGAGTGAGCTGTATAAATTTGAAGTTATGACAACTGGGTGCAAATTTTAACAACTCTCCTACTTGCTGCCTTTGTAAGTAACCTCAGGAAAGTCAATTAATATATCTGGACCTCTAATTCTATCTCCATATAATCAAGGAAGATGATCTGTATAGTCCCATCCACCTCTGACAATCCAGTGATTCTAATCCTATTGGCATGATGATCAGACCTCTAGTAAATCTGAAATTTAGAGGCAAGTTGGATGATGTTCACACTAATGGTGAAAGGCATAGGATGAAGATGGTAAAGGACCATTTCCTTTGTTCTGTCTTTCAGTCTCTACTGCCATTTTCATTTTCCTTATGCATGCTAAAGACATGAATAATTATAAGGTTATAGATGTAGAGCTGAGTGGAACCTAAGAGGTAATGAAGTCAAACCCATTCATCCTACAGATGAGCAAACTGAGTACTAGAGAGGTTAAGTGACTTCACATGTTCACACAGCAGGATTTAAATTCAGGTCTTCCTGACTCCAAATAAAGTACTCAATCCATTGTAATCAACCTTCCTCAAGCTGACAAACCCACTTCAGCAATTTGAAGTCTTCTGTAAGTTTATAGTATTTAGTTGAAAATATGGTTTTATGAAGTCTTAAAGGCTTCTTATACCACCATATGCACACAAATATATATACATATGTATATGCCTATACATACATACATGTGTGTGTTCTGAATGCCATGTGAGATGAATCTTGAAAGAAGATAAGGATTCTGGGAGACAGAAACAAGGAGAGAGCATGGGGAACTGCTTGTGTGAATACACAAAGGCAAGTGACAACATGTTGACTTCGGGGAATAACAAGTAGCACTGTGTGTGTGTGTGTGTGTGTGTGTGTGTGTGTGTGTGTGTGTGTGCATATGTGCACATCCTGTTGAATTAGCAGAATCTGAGTGTGAATTAAAAGCTACAGCCACACTGTGCCTTAACCTTAACATCCAGATTTGGAGTCTTGAATCTCTTTTGCCTCCTGATTCCTAAGTCTTATGAGAGTTGGAGTAGTAGCCACATCTTTGTTTTACATTTTTCCTGTTGCCTCATTGCCTCTGTTTTGTCATCACACCCTAATAAACCTACCATCCCCGAGCTGTCAAAGTTACCATGTCCTCTGATGATGTCACAGGTATTTCATCTTTGCTATGCTCTGGCTCCCATAGGAAAACCAGAAGGTGAGACAGACCAGCCTGAGGCAACTGAGTGAGATGTCAGCTGACTTGGGGAGTGACCTTTCTCAGCCATATCCTGTATGACTAGCACTTTTATAAATCCTCTGTGTCAGGCCTCTGAGATCTGATCACAAGCTGAGCCTATTTGCTTTTGCATTTCCTGCCATCTCATATTTCCTAGAATTTACAATTTAGGATGTCAGGGGCAGAAGGGGTGAAAGAGAAGTCCAGAAAGAGAAGCCACTCTCCCAGATGGGCCCTGGACCATCCCAGTAGTCTTTTCTGAAGAACGTTGGAGAGAGTGGAGGGTGAACAATAGAGAACTCCTCCCAGATCCACCATTTTAGGAAGTGGTCCAGAGCAGCTAGGTGGCACAACAGATAGAGTGCCTCCCCTAGAGTCAGGAAGACCTGAGTTCAAAGCTGGACTTAAACTCACTGTGTGACCCTAGGAAAGTCACTTAATTCTGTTTGCCTCAGTTTCCTCATCTGTAGAATCATTCACTGTGTTCTGGTCTGTGTTCTATATAGTGAAGTGTAAATATACCATATCTTATTTATTTTAGAAAATTAGTATATCTTTGTATTTAATTATAGAAAACTAACTTAGTGTTTTGAAATTTATTTGCAAATCAAGTTTTTCCATTTGGCACTATGATTTGTTGACTGTCTAGCTGAATATTATAATGTCAACTTA